AAAAAAAAAAAAAAAACTTGTATTGATTTTTTCTTAAAACCATTTGCAATTTAAGATCCTAGTTGAACAAAAAATTTAGAAACATATTTCTTGCCTTTCATAATGAATGTTTTGTCATCCAATTAAGTATATATTTACTTTTCAGAAACTTTGATTCTTTTTTATTAGATTTAGCCAAACACTATTATAATAAAAACTCAAACTTTTCACAAGAAATTACAGATAGCTCTTATAATAATTAATTTAAGAAGGGGGGAAAAACTAAACTGTTCATAATGAAACCGTGGAGTTTGAACCACCTTACAAATATCAAAAATGAATTCAATTTTTGTTATCACCTATTTATGAAAATCGTATACATATCAAACTATTTTTGAAATAATAAATATTATATGTATGTGAAGGGCATGTTGAAAATTAAATTTAAGTAAAATAAATGTGTTCTAATTTAACAATTTAAGCTTTTAAAAGAGATATATAATCCACTGGAGACATGTATTGATACCAAGATCCCGTTTGATTGGATTTCTATTTTTTGTAGACGAACTTCCCCATAAAGTTATCTTAGGTCAATTTCCTATAAAAGCTCTCTCAGTGAAACTAATCATTTTCAGAAAATTATTCAAACGGATTCAAATATAGTTTTTTAAATTCAGAAACAGTTTTTGACTTTTTAAAAGTCTTATCAAACAAACTCTAAGTCTTGAACATATTTGGTAGTGAAATGATAGAGAAAATGGTGAAAAAAAAATGACATTTAGCCAATGACATAGATATCATCCCCTTGTAATAAAAACATTGCTCTAATTAACTAAGAAACAAAAAACAATCCAAATACTGACTACCAGCCATTGAAGCATTACTTTGATTCTAAACCTAACCCAAATTGTAGATAAATTTTCCCTAATCCAGAATTTTCTAATAACCCACACAAAATCTTCTTTTTCCTTTTACCATAGAGTAGTTTCAGTAGTTTCTTGTTTTTGGTCGAATTAGATAGACATTCCTTCAATACAACAAAATGGAGGTCATCCAAATCCAAGACTATCCAGCCAAATCATGCAGCAACTGTGCACCCATCAAATTCCTGTATGGCAAATTCTGGCTTTCACTGTCCAAGAGTGAGTATTGAACTGTTTGGCAATCTTCAATGTGGTCTCTAGGGTAGAAAAGTGAGTTCTGTGAGGCTGAGGGAAATGCTAAGCTCACCCCAACACTTGCATGGTGCAATCCCAATGTCAAAGATACGCCCCCACCACCACCGCCACCGCTGCTGCTGCCGACGTAATTGGGAGCCGCACCGGCCCCACCTGTGGAATGATGATNATTTTGAAGGGTTTTACTCTTTTTTCCATCATTTTTCTCCGGATTGTTCACGATTGAAGAGAGACATTCGGAATCGATTCTTATCAGTTGATCATGGTTCGGTTTTTCGTCTATATTTCTTGAGGAATTTAGCTGATCATTGTTCTCATCAAGATTGGTGGTAGAATCATCATTCAAGCACTCTTTTTCCTTTAGTTCTTCTAAATACATTTGTTCCACCATTGGTTTCCATAGCCTCACCCTAGCATTGATGAACCAATTAGACACCTACACAACAAACAAACGAACAAACTCATTTATCTTACATGACAAGAAAACAATACCATGATTAAAATATCCTTAATATTTTAATACCATAGATGTTTTTTAAGAAGATATGCTCTTGATTACATAAATTAATTCATGGGTTTTGATTTAAATAATGTTTAGAAGAAAGGGACTTGCCTGGCTTCTTGAGAGACCTGTTTGGCGGGCTAAAATGTGTTTATCTACATCACTTGGATACCTGCAGGTTTCATTAAAACCCAATATGTACTGTTTACTTCTTGTGATCAGAATTAAAAAAATAAAAATTAATAAAATTAAAACTTTAAACATTTTGAATGGATGACAGAGAGTACAGAGAATGAGATGGGGCCTATGGAAATTTTAGCAGAATCAAATCCATACAAATATAACAAAACATGCCAAGAAATTGCAAGGAAAAAAATAAAGATAAAATATACACAGTTGTAGGCAATGAACTTTGGAATCTTAATAATGGTGGTGGGGAGAAACTAACAAATATTGGCTTGTTTTGAAAACTAATGATTGAGACAAACATGCAAGAACCTTAGTAAATAGAACAGCAAGTGGGATGTTTCTTTTTTGTTTGAAGAAAAAATTGATTCTTCTCAAGAAATCTAGTTTGTACTAAGCTCACATGTGTTCAATGTTAACACTTCGTGTGCGTTTGGTATACAGTATTAGATAGGAGCTCCGAGGAGCTACCCGAGAAATGAAGTTAGAGTTAAGGAATTTACGGGTGGAGGAAGTGCTCGAAAAGCCAAGCGCGAAGAACAGTAACCGATCTTTCAGGCAACCCTCGTTGAGGTCTCCACGGATGGCTTTCCATCATGTTCATTTGCTGGAATGCCTTTTGCTGCCTTAAAGTTTGATCAAGAAGTCTAAGTCTTGGTGTCTCTCCTCTCGTCGTGCCGGGAGCAGCAGTGTCTTTTGCCCCCATTGCTTTCATGGTGGCCTTAATCTGCCCTACAATTCCATCTCTTAAACACCTAAAGTGCCTTGACATGGCCTTTGAAGCTAGGGCAGAATACACTGTTGCAGCCCCATTTCCAGCCACTGCTTCAAATGATGATACCACAGCCTTCATCTGGTCACAGTAGTTCTTGTACCTTCTATCCACCTTTACATAAAAATTTATATAACAGTGAAAAAAGAGTGATACAAGATTGTAAATTATAGCAAACAATATGTACAAAATCGAGTAGTAATTGTACAATTTTTTGTAAGTAAAGAATAAAAGGTTCCGAGTTAAATGGAACTGCTGGAAGCATTAAGAGCCTGAGAAACTAGGTGAATCAACCACCCTGGAGAGTTAAGATTGTGAAAAAAAAAAAAAAA